TGCATTCTAAATTACTTACTTTTAGACCTACAGATAAATGTAGATCTCATCCCTCATCAAAGAAATAACTGCTAACAAATACTACGCCAGCAATCTACCAGATTAGCACAGAGGGATGCTCTAGAGCATTTGTTCTTAACCTGAAGATCATGACCCCTTTGGGGGTTGAATGACCCTTCACAGGGATCACATATCAGATATCATGCATATCAGATATTTGTACTGTGGTTCATAACTGTAAGAAAATTACAGTTATGAAGTAGCAATGAGAATAATTTTAGGGTCAGGGTCATCAGGAATTGTGTTTAAGGGTTGTGGCATTAGGAAGCTTGACCATGTGACAGAGGAAGAAGATTGAATTCAGAGTTTTGTTTTGTCACTTATAAAGTCAGTGGATAGTTACCAGGTAAACAAAACTCTGCAGAGATATGTGAAAGAAACAAGGAATATAATGATTAAAGCAAAAGCAATCAGTAATAAAGACCCACAGACAATCTAACCATTGAAGTCAGCAGATAAAAACCAAAATAATTAGAACAGCTATCAAGGGATTGACAAGAATGTGGAAACACACAGAAGTAGTAAACTTCAAAACAGAAGAAACACAAATGTCTATTAAGCATAGAACATTAACATAGACACAAAGAAAATGCAAAATAAAGCCACAAGACAGCTCTTTATTTTTTGTAGTAAAATAGCTAAAGTTAGAAAGATAGAACTCAAAGCTCCAGTATCAGCCACTCCACAAAGCTGGGATACAGATTAAGCAGTCAGCTATTAGAAACTACCTTGGTTACCATTCCTAGAGCTTTTATCCTGTAGCTGATCCAAGCAGAAACTGGCACCCACAGCTAAACACTGAGCCATACTCCTGGAATCCAGTTTTGGAGAGGGAGGAAGAATGAGCAAAGGACCCAAGAAGGTGATGGAGAAACCAGCAGAAACAGTTGACCTGACCTAGTGAGAGCACAGAGACCCTAGCTGTATAGCTGAGGAAGCAGCATGGACTGAACCAAGCCCTTTGAATGTGGGTGCCAGCTAGGAGGTCAGGGCAGTCTATGGAATCTCTAACAGTGGAGCCAGTGTTTATCCCCAGATCACAAATGAATTTTGGGAGACCTTTCCCCAAGGAGGGCTACTATTGCAGCCCAGATATGGGAAGGAGGGCCTGGGCCCTCCCCCAAATGATGTGACAGACTTTTATGGTCCCCCGTGGAGGGCCTCACTATCCCTGGGGAGTAGGTGGGTTGGGGAGACTGTCGGGAGCGTGGGAGGATGGGAGGGTGAGGGAATGGGGGGATTGATATGTAAATAAGAGTGCTTCTAAAATAAAAAATATTTAAAATAAAAAGAAACAATAGTAAAAGTGGAATACAGTTGTTCATGCAGTAACTCTTGAGAGAAAGAAGAAAGAACTTAGGCTAAATGCTGTGAAGGTTAACATTCAATGGGTGTGTGACAGAAAAACTAATGGAAATGATTTTTTTTAAAGCTGCAGTTTTAAATGCTGGCTATTAGATACAGGGGCTAGAATTTATATACACTTATCTCCATGCTAAGTACAGGTTACAGCCACAATTATAAATTGTTATCAACTGTCTAACAGTATCGTTATCTTCTTATCCTATGTACCCTACTTTCTGACGTCTAGAGTTGTAAAACACATACGTATAAAAAAAATCCTGTGAACTAGAACATTGATGGCAACTTTATTGATAGTGGCAACTGAAAACACTGCAAATGTTCTAGAAGATTGGATAAAGAAGTTGAGTTATATATTTATGCAATATAATATGTTATCAGGAATAAATCACAAAATTACATTGTTTAGTAAAATAAGCAAGGCATGAGAAGTATTTGTAATTTTACTGATGCAGATAAAAGGAACAGAGAGTATTCATGTGTGTTGTGCTAGCACAGAAAGTAGAGAGGTAGGCTGGCCAGAAAATATCACTGCATTGAGTCATATGCTGGCAGCTTCCAAAACCATGCTCAATAGAACACTCAGATTATGTTTGCCACTGCTTGGTCATTCTAAGAACAATGAATAAATTGAAAAAGTAAAAAGAGTTTATAATTACATTCTTAATATCACTAAGCCCTCAAGCTGATTCAAAGTCACATTTGATAGCACAATTTTTCTAACTTCTCCACTGTTGTCTTGAACAGAGAAGCTCTATCATACTCCTCCTTCCTCTGCAGTCTCTCGGCATCCCTCTAACCATATTTTCTTTAAAATTTGGGTGTGTGGTAATAGTGTATTCTAGATTGTATTTTCAGTACTTGATTTGAATTACATCATGTAAATTTAAAAATGATTTTCTGAAAGGATGGAATTTTGGGAACACCTGAGTATTACACTTCTCAGTTTTTATTTGTTTGTTTGTTTTTAGTTTCCAAGATGGGCAAGCTTTGGAGCCTCTCCAAAGATCACGGAGATCAGCCTGCCTCTGCCTCTTCAGTGCTGGGATTAAAGGCGTGCACTACCACTGCCCTGCTATACTTCTCAGTTTTTGTCATATCCGATATTAAGAGCCCAGCCAAGCACTGAGAATTACATTCCTTAATTGTATGAATTCAGGGAAAAGTACACAGAATAAAATGAAGACACAGTAGATGATTACTGTGTTGCTCTTTCATAGAGCAAGTGGTAGATTCTAGAGTTACAACACCATTAAATGCAGAAACAGCTAAGATCCTACAAAATATGATCACTGTAGAACCAAGAACACCATTTTTTAAAATATCATAGTATGTATCAATTTATTAACTCATTCATCTTTCCTTTAATGTATGCAGATTCACATGTGTGGCAGTTTGAATGTAATTGGCACCCATAAACTCGGGGGAGCAGCACTATAAGGAGGCATGGCTTTGTAGGGTAGCTATGGCCTTGTTGTAGGAAGTATGTCACTGTGAGGGCAGGCTTTGAGGTCTCCTAAGGTCAAGATACAACCTGTGTCTCAGACCACTTTCTGTTGCTTGCAGGTCAAGATGTAGAACTCTCAGCTGCTGCTCCAGAGCCATGTCTGCCTGCATGCCACCCTGTTGCACCATGATGATAATGAACCAAATGTGATGAAATCCAAAATCTATATCTCAGTATCTATAGGTTACTCTCTCCCCAAATAGGCATGCATCTTCCTTTTGTTCCTTTGAATTCAGCACCCATCTTTCTATGTAGTTGTGGTATATTAAGAGCCAATATTTGTTTCAAAACCATTTTGGAGGTCCAGGGACAGCTTTATTGATATGAATTGAAGGCCAGCCTCATCTACCAAGTTCGAGAACAGTCAATGTTATAGGGTGAGACGCTGCTTAAACAAACAAACAAACAAAAAATCCAAGAAAAACAGAATAAAACAAAAACAAAACAAATTTGATTTTCATGGAAAATGAATCATAAGCCAACTGACAGAATGAATCTGGGAAAAACAGATGTTGATGTGAATAAGGTAGACACATAGTTTATCTCATTATTACCAGTCACCACACTCATCACAAATCTACTGACAGTATATATTTATTCTCTTGAATGATGCAATTTTAGAGACATCCTTTATTAATACAGTTATCAAAATGATTTGCTGTTATGAGCTTTATTTTAGTATTACTATTTTCTAGATTATGTAATCATAATCATAGAATCTTTGGAAAAATAGCCATTTAAAGATAGAACTTATTACATAATGAATTATTTTTTGTGACATGAAGAGTGTAATAAGTAAAGAAAAATTAGGAGATTATTGAAGTAGTTTTATACCATTAAACAAATATCCATTAGCATAGACAAAGAAAATAATCTAAAAGATAGCCAAGGCACCATCACATCTTCTCCCTGAAAGCAAGACAAAGCAGTTTTAGTACTAGTAGGTTCTTTTGAGTACAATTGTTTGGCTATTTCAGAAATTGCTTGTTAAAAAAGAAAAAACATCTCATTGGAAGTTTTATACTGACAGAAGCTCACACTGTATTGAAATACCTGTCAAATTTTAGCACAATAACTTGAATTGATTTGCATGATACAAATAGCACATTAGTGAGACACTTTCTAAGGCGGAATAGATGTTCCTCCCTCCTGACTCCCTGATTGTGTTTGTACTGCCCCTTTTCATTTGAAGATTGCTCAATGTTGCTTCTTTCAGAAGAATCAGAATAGGCTTATTATACATTTGGAACACTTTAACTTTTAGTTTACTCATTAAATGACATTACATGCCTTTCTATGTGTGTTTTTATTTGTAGTATAATTTCAAGGATGCCTTTCTAATAAACCAATAATGTAGCCTCAGTAGACAACTAAGTTCATTTAGACAAACATCTAACCATGTTTATATGTAGGATATGACTAATTAATTTTGTAGTTTCTCTGCTTTCTAATAAACCAATAATGTAGCCTCAGTAGACAACTAAGTTCATTTATACAAACATCTAACCATGTTTATATGTAGGATATGACTAATTAATTTTGGAGTTTCTCTATCATTATATAGTTCTTTGATTATATTAATACTTTATTTAAACTAATGGGATAGTGACATTATCACAATGTTTAGCATGCAATGTGAAAAGATGACTTGGGAATACTGATTATATAGAAAGCATGAAATTTCTTTTATATAGAAGCAATATACTCAGTATTTATGTGACTCACATCAAATTTATAGTATAGGCAGATATAACTTTAAAAATTAATTTTGGTTTTTAAAACTTTAGATAGGGTTTAGTTGGGGGGTGGTAGGGGTGGATGGGAGGGAGTGGGAACTGGGATTGACATATAAACGCTTGTTTCTAATTCAAATAAAAAAACTTAGGCAAATCTCATAGTTGGTTTGGTCTTTGTAGGCAGATATATACACTAATTTGTTTCTCTACAATCATTATGCTAAGAATTCTTTGTTAATTTTCTGATGAATTTTTTGTTAAGATTTGTCAGGTCATTTAAGCTATAACTTTGGTAAAAATACCTACCAAAACTTCAAAGTGTCTAAGGCAATGTCTTAAGGTTCTCTTATGTTATCAGTCTTGGCCTAATGAGAAAGAACATTCACAAGAAGCTCATATTAAAATTAAAGTCAAGTCACACCCTGATACACAGTTTTAAAATGATACTTTTAAAATTTAAATTCTTTAATTACTAATTATATTTACATATCCATCCCCCATTCTCTCAACCTTCCATCCTCCCGTGTTCCCCACCAACCCCTCCAACCCATCCCCCAACTCCTTCCGAGGGATAGTGAGGCCCTTCACCAGGAATCTTCAAAGTCTGTCATATCGTGTGGGGGAGGGCCTAGGCCCTCCTTTCTGTATCTGGGCTGCAATAGTATCCCTCCATAGGGAATGGGCTCCCAAAGTCTATTTGTGCTCTAGGGTTAAAGACTGGCTCCACTGTTAGAGGTCCCATAGACTGTCTTAGCCTCCTAGCTGGCACCCACATTCAGAGTGCTTGGTTCTGTCCAATGCTGTTTCTGCAGCTTTATGAATAGGGTCGCCACGCTCTCACTAGATCAGGTCAACTGTTTCTGCGGGTTTCTGCAGCACCATCTTGGCTTCTTTGCTCATCCCTCCTCCCTAAGCTGTTTTTATACAGAGTTAAGGCTAGATATTGTATTACTTGTACTTTTATTATGATGTCTAGCCCTACAAATTAAGTTCTCACTTAGACCATAGAGAACAATTTATTTCATAAAATGAATCCTTTGTTACTCTACCTTCTGTTCTGGAAGTACTGGGGCAATAGTCGGGTCTATTGCAGAAGTGAAAACATGGTCTGTGTTGGGCTTTAGTGAAGTTGAAGGCATGAAGACTCCTACATTGTCAAGCTTAAAGTTGACTGGTTCTCTTTGGGAATACAGTGGCTTTCCTTCTGTTGGCTGAAGAGATTAAGAACAAAGTGGTTACAGCTTCAAGCAGATGTTTAAAACTGGAAAGAATATGAAGCTAAAGGGCTGAGAATTACAAACAGGCATCATATCCAACAATAAGTGCCTATATTAGTTTTTTAGCTCATTAACTATTTTAGAAAGGTTGTAATTATAATAAATATGATTATATGTTAATTATTTTTTAATTCATTCTTTGAGAACATCATACATGTCTATCCTATGCAATGTGTTATGATTATATCCACCCCACATTTTCCCATCTAACTTCCTTTGGAGTCTCCTAGCATGTCTCCCTCTCAACTTCTGGTCCTCCTCACTCTCTGCCTGCTCCTTCTGCTCCTCCTCCTACTCTTCTTTTTTTTTCTTTTAGCATACCCCACTGCATTCAATTAGTAGTGTTATTAGATACATCAGCGTGGGTCATCCAGTAATGAATGGGTTAACCATCACTAAATGAAATGACTTTCTCTCTCTAATTTCATCAACTGCCAATAGTGCCCCAGCTTTTAAATAAGTTGAAAAGAAGAGTTCCTGGAAAAAGTTTCTCAGTAAAGAGTTAAGGAACTGAATGATTTGGATCTTGACTAACAAATATTACATGGGGAAGATCAATAGTTGTTGATATAATTATAACAGTGGTGGTAGTTTGAATTTAATTGGCTCCTAGAAGCTCACAGGGAATGGCTTTGTTGGACTATATATGGCCTTGTTGGAAGAAGTGTGTCACTGTGGGGGAGTTCTTTGAGACTTCTTATGCTCAAGATACTCAAGAGATTTGCCCAGTGAATCTACTCCATGTTGCCTTCTGATTAAGATGTAGCCAGCTCCATTTGTGCCTGCACGCTGCCATGCTCCCTGTCATAACGATAATGGACTGAGTATCTGAAACTAAGTGAGCCACCCCAATGAAACCCTAAGACACAGTGTTTATATTAAAATGAATACTACTGAAGGAACCTTTATGTTCTCACTTGTCAAGTTCCAGTTACTGCAAGGTTTCGCAAGGAATCTTACCATTCCAGGAGTTTCAGGAGCTGTGCCTACAAAGGTGTCAAAAGCTAAATGTTGCTGTCCTCCTTGTACATCCTGAAGAAGCAGAAAGTTAGGGATGGCTAAATCAGTGATGGATCAGTATGCATTCTCTTGCCAACCAAAGCAATTAGGCACAGTCCAGTGTCTTAAGAATTTAGATTTGAGAAAGAGAAATACAACTGTAGGTGGGAGAAAACTGCTTAGACACTCAGTTTTACTTCAGGTGTGGAAGTCTGTAAAGCATGGACCTCAGGGATGGCTATTTCTAAACATGATAAAGTTTGGAATATGAGACTTTCTAATGTCATCAAAAGAGACCAAGTACAAGTGTGTTCAAATCTTGGCTACTACTAGTGACTTGCTCCCCAGTCGCAGCCTCAGACTCGTTTTGTTGCCTTCTGTGTAATCTCTGAGACACTCCTCAAATACCCCCACTTTCTGAGCATGTGCATTCCAGAGTTGACTACTACTTGAGTGTTCTCCATCCAAAACCATCCAATGCAAGTTCTGTAAGCCCACACAAGACCATATAAGAAATCTTTCTCTGTTTTTTTATGTGTGTTCCCTTGGCAACATATGGATAATTCTAAATTCATCATCTAGAAGTGTGTTCTTGATGCTTTCTGTCTGAAAGATACCCATGTGTTTAATAGAGAAGCAAGTAGTTCCAAATATATATATTTAGATATTAAAATTATGCATTTACTCACAGGTTCTGCTTGTTGTGGTACATATCCAAATTGATTATAGAATGGTATCTGTCAGAATTTTGAAAATGGTATTAGATTTATCAGGATGATTTTTGTCATAAATTTCTGAGCAATGATTATGTCAATTACATATTTTTACATTAGTTAAATGGTTTTTGGAAGTCCACATGGTTTAGTTTGCAAAAATCATCATTCAATGTTAAGATATCTTCTTAACATGTATTATGAAAGAATTTAATTTAAATTAAATTCTCAAAATTTGTGCTAGATTTAGAAAATTGAATACATAATACAATTATCAAATTGAATGTCAAGTTCTAGTGACCACAAGTATTTTTCTTTGCAATCTTTCATATTTTAGTATTTTCATAATAAGCACATATACATATTTGTACATAAATAAAGAGTACCTGTAGATTCTGAATGTGAGAAAAATCCAATTAAGAAAAAGGTAAGTTTTGAACCTTGTTTTATTAGAATCATTTACTTACTTCATTCCTTGAGATTATAGGCTTAGTGTATTGCCACATTAGTCTATAGTGTGCTATTTGGGGAGGCAGCATGCCTATTCTGTGAGGTCAAGTGGCTGGGCCCATGCACTAACCATCCTCCATTGTTCTTTGGTCATGTACTTACCTTTTTCTGAAATTGAACAAATCAGATTGAAACCAAACCCTGGTAGTACCTGTTCCTCAAATAGCTGTGGCCCTGTTTGCTGGGGTGATGATGTGACCATTTGTTGAGTTTGCTCCCAGGGAAGCAGCATGTAAATTGGGTAGTACCCAAGCACCTATAGGTAAATACAGAAGTACACAGGGAGTTCCATTAAATTAGGATGAGCAATACTTTTCACTCTTTTAATGTCAGTAATATTTTAAGGCTGATATTAGAGGTATGAACTACCAACCCAAGCAAAAAATTGAACTGTACATAGAAGTTTTACAGTGACTGTCAAATTTAGAAACAACTTCTACTGAAGATGGTACTGGATTTCACTTTTAAGGTTTCATGCTTAAACAATTTAGGATATAGTAGATTTAACTAAGTAAAAGAAGCATGTGTCCTTCTAACAAATAGCATCTTGAAAATGTTATACATAGGTTAATATGTAATCATCCAAGGAGAGAATAGTCAATGTAGTATTTTTTCTATAATTTTGAGAATTGTAATTCTACAGAACATATTAGGAGTTCTGCCATAGTGAATAAGAAAAAATCAAATTAAATTCGAATGATATCTGTTTTATTAAGGCAATTCTTGGGCGACGGAGCGGGCTCAGGCATTAAAAGCACTGATTCCTACAGTAGAGGACCTAGGTTTGCTTGTTAGCATGCACATGGTGGCTCACAACCATCAGTAACTCTAGTTCTAAGGCATCCAATGCCCTCTTCTGACTTCTTTAGATACTGCATGCACATGTGGCACATACATTCACATAGGTAAAACACTCACAGACACAAACTAATTAAATCTAAATGTATTTTAAGAATAATCTTTATGAGTTTTAGAATAGAGAAACCCAGGAAGCAATAAATAAATAAAAACAACACCAACCATATTGTGATATATTGGTTTCTAGTTATGTCTCCATGAGAGTGTACATAAAGAATGTATGGAAAATAAGGAGCATAATACATGGATACATTTTAAATGCTGTTTTATGTTTTGTATCATTAAATGATTATGTTCATATAACATTTGAAAATAATTGCAACAATGTTTCTGAAATGAATACAATTTGCCTCATAGGTTTTTATCCTGTACAGGAGTAAAAACTCACCAATTAAGTATTCAGAAACCTAACAATGTTTGTCTGGTCAAGTCTGTGATACCTTGGGCCTAAGGTAGGGCTTAGGCATTTGTAAATTTCAAAATTGCCCACTAAGTTTTTGATGTAAAGCCAGAATAGAGAGCTACCGGATTAGTGGTTAAAAAAAGGATAGAGGATTGACTTCTATTTCAGCTATTTAGTTCATTGGGATAAGACACTTAATCTCATTAAAACTATGTTTCCTGGTCCTTAAAATGAAGCAATTGTATTTGTCACATATCTGACTCTCTACATAGTCCCGATATACAATGAGATAATGTCTAGAATTGTGTTATTATGTAATGGCAGTGGGAGTGAAACTTAATTGCATAATTATACTTATAGAAGAGGCAAGCCATGTAATTTTGTTGGAACAAGTCAATAGTCTTCAAGTGAATAACAATTTATATATAGCCCTGTTTCTTTGATTATGAGATATTAAACAGTTAGTTTTCCTAGTATCAACAAGCTGTTTTATGTTAACATCACAAATTTATTAGCTAATATCAATTTAATTTTTCCTATTAAAGGGAAATTTTTAAGTTAATTATAATGTGGAGTCAAATCATAAATACTGCATACAAGAGGCTGGGGAAGTGTTCAGGGGAGTTTTATAACAGATGAATAATGTATATCAGTGTAATTTATAATAAAAATATTATTACTACAATGTGTGCTATTTACATCTACATATTAGATATAAATATAAGATTCTCTGAAACCAAATTTGAGAGGGTACAAAGTTCACTCATGGTATTACTCTTTAGTTGTTCCCCAGTGTTGGCACTTAAATACAGAGAAGACATGTACTGGCTTTACTGAACTCCTTCCCTTCTGATAGTGATGTCATAGGTACTCAAGGGTGCTAGATATCCTTTTCAGCTGCCTGTTCTTAAAGAATCAAGTAAGTCCAGCATTAGCAGATGTCTAGAAGCCAGTGATGGAACCTCTAGCCAGTGATGGGTGGCCCACAGGTGTGAAAGCCCTGATGCTGGAGACCCAGGGAACAAGATGAAGTGCTATGGAGAGTGCAATGAGCCACTTATGTGTCAGTCATGGAATTCTTTTCACTCACCTGTGTTTGATCTTGGGGCACTTTGAAGGGAACCATGTAGGACATCTGAAGGAAACAAACAAGCAAAACCAGAAAACCATATAAGCAAATTATATCTGACCTGTTAAAATTCTTAGTCTAATTTTCCTAGAGCTAGTTTCCCATGTACCATTTGCATTAGCAATATTCCACTAAGGTTTATCTTCTGCATGAGTTATAATTTATGCAAATTATGCATCCACATGTTGTTTTAGCTCCTGAATGATGACTATATTCTAGGGTAATTGATTTTAATGTTATTTTTATATTTAAAAAATCAGAAAATATAAGAAGATATTTTCAGTGTTGTTTGAAACAGAACAGGAGAAATAAGACTTAGTAAGACCCCTGCCATATTTCAAAGCTAATTAATGATAGCGTTCATGTTCTGTCTTATAGCAGCAAGATGGAAGAAGACCAACTTACAAGGTTAGCAACCTGTTGGCTTTGTGGTGGTGTCTGTGGCTGTGAGAGATCTGGTTGGCCAGCCTGACCTCCTTGGGCAAACCCAACCTGTCCTGAGAAAGGTATCTGATTTGGGAATAGCCCAGCCAAGCTCTCTAATGTTGAGAGTGGAAACTGTGGGAGTCCTGGGACCTGAGCCTGCTGCTGCTGCTGCTGCTGTTGCAGAAACCCAGGGAAGGGAGGAATCCAGGGGTTAAAAGCACCCTGTGAAAAACAAAGATAGAAAGGAAATATTATTCTTTCATATTTAAAAAAAGAACTTGAAATCAAACCTGAGCAATAAAGACAACAATGTAGGCAATTTATATATTTCAAGTCTTATGAAAAGATAACATTTCAACTGCTTATGATCCTCACAAATTGAGAGGTTTTCAACTGTCATGAGAAATATGGAATGCGAAGAGTTGGTAAAAAAGCACACATTTCTTCAGAAGTTTGACTGTATTTAATTTTTCTTTTCTTTTTCCTCTTGGGTAGCTAGATATGACTTTGTTTAAAATAGTTAACTATCTCAAAAGTCTTCAGAATTAGTGTCAGCACATAGCAAATTCTTAGCAATATAAATGGATGCACTTTGTTCTCATCCCATGCCATAAGAAATGCTCATTACAGATACATTCCCTCTGAACTGATTATTTACATAGTAGTACCTGAAATTGCAGTGGCAAAAGTCGACCATTATTTAGACCCAGGAGTAACTGGAAAAGGAGAGACAATGGGAAAATGATGACTATGTACTCTGAAATATTTTCTAGAGAGAGCACAAATCAGAGCTAGTTAATCCACTTCCAGTCCAAAGTGACACATTTTTCCAGTAAGACAGCATTGAATTACAGTGATTAGTGGTTAGATTTGAAAACAAGGTTCAAGTTTTTCTGTTGTTGTTTGCATTGTAATTTCATGATTGCTGTCAATAAAGAATAGTCATGTTTGTTGTAAGAAGATGGCATACAAACAATGGCTTGAACATTTTAATTCCTAAGTATTTGCATTCCTCAATTTCTTTCCTACTCATGGAAAATAGTGCTTTTATTAAAATAATTTTTATTTAAATTAAAACCAGTCTTATTTGACATACCAATCCCAGTTCCCTCTCCCTCCCGACCTCCCATTCCTCCACCATCTCTCCATCCCACTCCCATCCACTCGTCATGGAAGGTGAGGCCTCCCATGGAGGATGATCAAAGTCAATGAGACTGCACAGTTTTAGCTTAACCCAGTGGTTTGGTATTTCATGTTTTTGGAATTTCATATATTTAGTACCTACATTAGAACTACTGGAACAAAGAATACAGATGATACAACGTTTAGAGAACTTATGTTTACACAAAGAAGACAAAACAACTCTATAGAAGCCATCTGGAAGACAAAGCAACCAAGCAGCCTGGAAATACCTAGTGGTCTGGATGCAGGCTTTTATGTCTTCACAACGTGTTTTCACCTACAGAACACAGTAGAATGCTTTAATTACTTAAACTAACCTCATGACTGTTGCTAGCAGACAATAGGCGCTGTGAGACAAGCTAAAAAGAAAATGAAGAAAAATGATGAAGGAGGGGAAATGCACAGGTGTACGTGATGAAATCAAAATATCATGAACCACTTACCGGAGCTGCTGATGTAGCTCCTATGAGTCCAAGAAGAATTAAAATTTTCATTTTTCAGATGATATACCTACACGATGAGTTGTAATACTTAGCTTTAGAAGATACTCTTTGCTTAAAATTTCATGACAAAAATAAAGGCATGGCAAGATTCATCAGATGGCATTGTCAAATTGAGTAAGTTTCTCTCTATTTACTTAACATTTTATGGCTCAAAGTAACAAACTTTATCTTTGTGACTATCTCTCAATATAGATATTTATGGGAAAATTGTTTTCTTGGTCTTAAAGCTGTGGCCATATCACTGTTAGCCCCTTACTGAAGGGAACGCATCCTCCAATCCATGGAGCCCCCTGCCTGGGATTAACTGACTGTTTCCTTGTTATTAATGCCTGCAGTAAAAATGTATCACAACAAAGATCTAACAGTCCCAGGCCAAAGAGAAAATTTCCATTAGAAGTCAAATAATATTCATGAGGATTAACTGTAATGGTTGCAGCATTGTTTTTTTAATCCAGGAAATGGAGAAGGTAAAAAGCAGTAGTGATACATACTGTAACGTCTTATCCCTTGCTTCTACTTGTAAAATTTCCCAGTATTTCACAACATGGACACACACACCAGGGTGACCACGGTCTTGTATTGGAGTTTGGTTCTTAAAATATCAAAGCAAAGATTTGATATCTTACCTTGCTCCTTTGTAAGATCTGTGTCCCCTTCTTTCTTAGTTCTGTTCTTCAAATCGTCTCCTAACATTTAAAACCCATCTTTAGAAAAAGAGGGACCAATCATGATTGAAAGGCACCAGTGATTCAGTGGGTTTTGGACAATGGCTTAGCTAATAACCCCTTTCCTCCTCATCATCGTGGTGTATGTACTCCCACACCCCAAGTAATGCTTTTCAATTACCCCTGAGACATTTTGTTGTGATCACTCTTGGTTTCTCCTTGGTCATGACTAACTCCCCTGGGCTAATTTTGTTCCACTCCTTTTATCCTTTTAAAAAATGGGTACCTCAAACAAGTAACCTGAAACCCTTTACTAAACTCAAGACTACATAAGTGATGCTTCTTTTTTTTTTTTTAAACTCTGAGAAGAAAATTCAAGTAGAACACAGATCTTCATGAAAGTTCAAAGTTTTGTCAGTAACAGATATTATCCAGGGCTCTGTAATTAGGCTAAGGTAATGTGAGCTAGATTCACTTAAATTTGATTTTTTAATTGAAAAATATATTCTTCTCTCATACAATACATTGAGACCATAGTTTCTCCTCCCTCTACTCTTTCCAGCTCCCCTACCCATATCTTTTCCTCCTTAGCCCATATCCCTTATGTTCCTCTTCAGAAAAGAGAAGTCCTCCAAGAGACAACAACCAAACACAATAAACCAAGATACAATAAGACAAGGCAAAAGCTCTCATACTGAGGCAGGACAAGGCAAGCTAATTGGAGGAAAAGAGTCCCAAGAGAAGGTAAAGAGTCAGAGACATACCCACTCCCATTGCAGATCATTTCTATAGTCTGTTACTTTTAAGTTTTTTGAAAATAGTAGTGACTATCCCCCCTTTTATGAAATAAAATCCTAAAAAGTCTGAATTCATAGATATCTGTGAAATGAATATCCTTAAACTAATGAGCATGAAGCATAGTTGCCTACAATTTTATAATAGTATTATCTACTACACGTCTTTATTTAAATTTCTTAAAAATAGTTGAGTGTTTATTCTGAGTGTCAATATTTTGGCATTCTATGCTCTAACATTCTAAGATCACAAGTGTTGTCGTAATGAATTATCAGTTAATTTACATTATGGGCGGATTACTTGGTTAATTAGACCTTACCATGTGGTAAAACAAAGCAAATGACTTTCTAAAAGTTTTCCTTTTCGTAGTAAGACAGTGCTTGCAATTTTAGGATTGGTTGTGTGTGTAGCAAATGGAAGCCATAAAGACCCAAAATATTAGTTAATATAACATGGCCTTTTTCTGTATGAGTGAAGAGAAGTTACCACTGTTTTCTGTGATTCAAAAAAAAATCCCAAGAATGGATATTTAGACTGTACTAGGTTATGATGGATAATTTACTGAAACTTAGTACTTAATGTAATAATCACTCTTGTCTCAAAAATGCAGCCAATTATTGAGTGGAAAAAGTAGGTAGATTTTATGTTTTCTGACTCATGTGCCTGCACACACAACACACTTACAAATGATGTATATGAATGAACAGACTTTGGTTTATTTTTGAGTATTGTCAAATTAAATAAAATACACTGTAAGTTATCAACCACTTGATAATTTCTACTACATCCCATTGGGCCCAAGCAGCTAACCATACTACTGAGCCAGGAACTTGCCAAGGCTTTGCACTAAACAAGGGGTTTGTTTTATTTTCCTTTGTTTAAATTTTCCATTGGTTGCATATCTTAAGGAAAAGTACTTAAGGTGCTGGATTAAGGGCTTCATGGTTAGCAGCATTTGCTGCTCTTACAGAAGGCCTGGGTTTCGTTCTCTGCACCCACATTAGGTGGCTCAAAGCTGCCTGTGACTGCAGTTTCAGGGGCTTCACACTCTCTTCTGGCCTCCACAAACACCACAAGCACATGTATGAACTCAGGCACACACATGTGACTATAAAATTTAAAACAATAGTAGGTTAATATTGGGAAAAATAGGAGAGCTTCCAGCTCTCTGTGTCCTTGTCAGCAATGATACACCTGAGGGGAGAGGAAGGCCTGGTTTACATACTGCAGTGTGAATGTTATCTGTGTCTGTTTGTCTTATTAAGCTCTGTTATATACATTCTCCTTTCTGTAACTGTGTCATTTGCCTAGAGAATATTTCACTACATTTTGTTAAATAAATGGTTTACTTGATTTAGGTGAGGAAAAAGATGGGAGAGATCCAGAGCAATGACATTCAGTATAGGTTAAGGTTCAAGAACACAAGATGAAGAAGAGAACCAGACAGATACTGTCATATCGTTATTTTGTTTTTACTCAGTCACCAGCACAAAACAAACCTTCATTCAAAAACTACATTCTACTGCCTAGTGCTTATGACTGTTGGATTAGGTATTGGTGAAGTTATAACTGAAGTGACTCAGTTTGTTCTTTCAGTGTGTTATCTTTGATCCTCCTAATAACTATCATGAAGAATCAGTCAAGAGGCTCACAGAATACAGTTGTGAAGTTGACTATTGTTCTGTGGATTATGAAAAAGTCTGAATTTTAACACTTCTTAAAATAAAAGTATTTTTGCAACACATGAACTATAATCCCCCAGAACTCGTGACACATATCAATGTAGTGAAGATGAGTTACCTGTGTCAGGGAGAAAGATTAGGTTCAGGAGGCCCAGTGTCTCCATTCATTACTTAATCAGTGGCACAAGTAGTTACTGGAAAGAAGCTTCGATAGCCCATGTCTTAGCCAGGCACCAAAGGAACCTTGTTATTAGTGATAAGACATATAGTTTCAATCTCTAAGGAAATTAAATTTTTTTCACTGTCAAAAATGTTTGACAGGCTGCAGAGAGTTCAGCAGTTAAGAGCACTGGCTACATCCCACCCCTGCCTGACCCCTGTCTGCCATGTGGTGGAGCGGGCAAGGGAAAGATGCTCTCCCCTCTCTTGGCCTATCACCTGTGGTGGGTGAAGGAGATAACCCTCCCCTAACCAGCATCAGCACTTGGGAAAGACAGCTGTGCACCTCCCTGGCATCACAGTAGAGCTGACCATATTGACAGGGTTACAGATGAACCAACCCCAGAAGATGAGCACGGAAGATCTGGCTCTGCCGCTCATCTGCCATATGGTGGTGGGGGTGGGGGAGAGATGCACTCTTCCCACAAACTCCAGCTTATGACCACTGTAAGGACTGGGAGAGCTGGAACTGAGGTCATAAGAGCAGGAGAGCTGTCCATGCCAGTCACCAACTACAGAACACAGGAGAGTGGCCCCTGCACCTAGCCTGGGCAACACAGTAGAGTTGGCTCTGATGGTATAGGTGTTGGAGAGCTGACATACCCTGATGGTGTGAAAGCAGGAATACTGCCTCTGGCTCATTGCTGCAAGGAATGAACAAGCTTGGGGCAATGTTTTAGAGCTCACACTGTTGGTGAGGATGGGGGAAAGAAAACTGATAGGCTGACCAACCCTGCAGCTTCCCAAGCCTCCCAAATATCCACCCCATCTATGATCTGCTAGAGCACATGAAGGGACATATCCTGTAGACCCAAAGATGCAGGATCACCAAGTCACAGGGCAACAGCAGGACATCAAAGAGGATTTCCAGTGAGGGTCCCAGAATCAATAGTGTAGCAGAAACCAGAAGCCCTGAACCAGACCAAGGACTCTTTGCAATGGACATTTGCAAGTAAAGATATCTGGATTAAAGGGTTTACTGCTTACTGTGTCACACTACAACTTCTGTAAAGAAATTTTCCTTTTAGTTTTTCCTTTTTTTTCTCTTGTTTTATTTTATCCTCCCCCTACACTGCCCCCTGCCCATCAATGCCCGGGGAAGGTGGGAGAGCCAACACTGTGGTCAAAAGAGCAGGAGAGTTGTCCCTGATCCCTGTCAGCTGCAACACTTGGGGACAATCAGGCCCTGCACCTCACCAGGGCAGCACAATAGAGCCAACCTTGTTAGCGGAGGTGTGGGGGAAGCCTGCTCCAAAGTTGAACCTGAGAGAGATATGGGAGAGATGTCCCCAGTCCTCATTTGTCTTATGGTAATGTGGACAGGGGAATGATGCACCACCCCACCACCCGCTCTTGCCCATCAACATCTCATCTCTGTCAACTGCAACACTTGGAAGAGCAGGCCCTACGCTTTGCCAGAACATCACAATAGACCCGACCCTGTTAACCCAGGTGTGGGTAAGCCAGGACTGAAGTTGTAAACGTGGGAGAACTGTCCGCATTTCTCATCTGGTAGAACAACCTTACATCTGCTCAGGCCCAGACCCAGGTTTATAACTTGGGCTGCCCAAACATCCATCCTATCTGTGACCTACTAGAACAGGGTGTGAAGGAACCTGACCCACGGATA